AACCCTACTATACAAGGGTTAGATTAGTTGACCGGTTTGACTCGTTCACTTTAGTTGACTTTGACTTGACCAAAAATTGACGGTTGTCACATTGGGTGCAGTAACCGGTGGGAGTCCGGTAACCCAGATTATGACAGATTAGTTGGGACCAGGGTGGTCTCTGTTCGTCCGGAAAGCGGACAAGAGATAGAAGGACCTTCGGTCGGGGATAGCGATAAGAGAATTCCTGTGGAGCAGCCAGTTGACCGAGAGGTGATACGCCACTCACAGTAGGGTTGAATAATCTCAGAGGGAAGGGTTTGGCCCTATTTCGCAGCTCTCGTATGAGTCTAACCATTCCTGGGATGAATCTTTTACTCGAAGGATTATCTGATCCATTCGCTGGGAGGGGTTTTCAGCACCAGGATATAGTAAGAGGAAGCATTCAGTGGGTCCCTGCAACGGTTAGACTCATACGAGAGCTGCAAAATAAGGTCAACCCCTTCCCTCTAAGATTATCTGATCCATTCGCTGGGAGGGGTGAGCCCCTTTGGATGCCAAGCGAAAGTACTCGGGGAGTACTGGAGGGATTGCCAGCTGGATAAGAGCCATGTTCTTAGGATTGCTGGTGATCAGAGTGCTCTCGAGGTTTTTATCTTCAAGGATTAGTTTCGGCTGAATGACCAGGCGGAAGGTCAATGGGAGCGATCCCTCGAGGATCGGACACAGTAGGAGATGTATTCACCGGGCAGAAATGTTGTGAGCAGATTGCAGGATAGTTGGCCGTAGCAGACTTCGAGGACGAAGTCTAGTTTAAGTGGGGGAGAGTTGTAACACCCCTAATCCATCAGACCAACAAAGGAAAGAAAAACCCCAAGTCAAGAAGTCTACTCGTCGAGTCCAGGGAGGAACTCGACGAGTAGGAGCTCGTTTTGGGTCGCGGGTTTAGTGACCTACTCGACGAGTCGGTAGACGGACTCGGCGAGTTGGTCTGGGTTTGGGAAACCCTAAATTCGGACTTAGTGCCCTATTTAAGCATCTCATTCTTATTCCACCAGCCTCATTATCAACCTCCACTATCCAGAGCATACACCTCGAAACCCTAGTGTCTCCCTTGAGTTTGTAAGCCATTCTTGTGAGAACTTGAGTATTCTTGAAGCTTAGAAGAACAAGAAAGAGGTTGGAGGTTCAAGAAGGAAGAAGTAGATCCAGAAGATACACTCCATTTGATGCATTTCTTGGTAATCAAGTCTTCATCTTGACTTATAGTCTCTTAGATCTAATTATGTCCACTTTATGAGAGTTTTGGTTCATGGAGCTTGATCTATGGGACAACGATGTCCCAAGCAAAGATCCTTTCAGATCTGGGGTCCCTAAGAGTGGCTAGGGCATAAAGGTGCAAGCTTTATGCCATTAGAATCCCCATGCAAGGTTTAAGAGGTTGTTATGGCCTTTTGAGCAACTCGGCGAGTCAGGTCAACTGGGTGTTGCCTTTGACCATGGACCGTTGACTTTGACCATAGTTGACTAGTTTGACTTCTGGAGGGCATTTTGGGACTAAGTGTTATGTTGGTATTGTTAGTTCGGGAAGCCGAAGGGTCAGTAGTTCGGGAATTTCCAGTCAGCAGCCAGAGGAGTATCAGCAGGAATCAGCAGTACGAGGTGAGTCTCCTCACTGTGTGCATGGGTCTACGCCCACAATGTCGGCCTATTATGTTTGTGTATAATAGGAAGACCCGGGGGTTAGCCTTAGGCATTTTTATGATATGTGTCGGGCGAGGCCCGAGGAATGTAGTATGCTAGAGGTAGTTGTGATATGTGTCAGAGTTGATAGGTTCCGGACCAAGGTCCGATGCTGGGGTAAGCCCGAAGAGTGTTTATGGTAGTATGGTTCCAGACCAAGGTCCGATGCCAGGGCAAGCCCGAGGAAGGTTTATATGTTGAATGTTAGATTATACTTGTTGTCTTTGTGATACTTCTATGTGCCTGGTAGGGAGGTGAGTGTGGGCGAGGTCCCGTATCTCATCACTAGCCGAGTATGGACGGGGTTCCGTATCTTCTTAGTTGCAGAGCAGGGGCGAGGCTCGAGATAGGAAGGAGGTGAGTGTGGGCGGGGGCCCGTATATCACTATCAGCAGGAGCGTGGATGGGGTTCCATGACTCATCAGTAGCAGGACAGGGGCGAGGCCCAAGTTAGGCGAGGCCTTAGATCAAGAGTATAGTAGAGTATGTTTAAGCTATTTGTTATGTGTTATGTTATATGTTTGTATGTGTTTAGCGGGCGAGGCCCAGAGACAGGCGGGGCCTAAGAGAAACAAATATGTATACCGAGCGGGGCTCGATGCCAGGCAAGGCCTGATGCCAGGCGGGGCCCGATGCCGGACAAGTTCTGATGCAGCGGGCGGGGGCCCAGTATGTGGTTATGTATGTGGTATGTGGTAGGTTGGGGAAAATCACTAAGCTTCGTGCTTACGGTTTTCAGTTTTGGTTTCAGGTACTTCCGGTAGCGGATGGAAGAGCTCGGGATGATCGCATTGCATACACACACACCAAGAAGTTTAGCCTGGGATGTTTACTCTGATAAGATGAACAAGTGTTTGAAATGATACTCTGATTTGAGATAATGATTTATGATTTTGGATGAATGACTTTATAATTATGGTTTAATTAATGATTTAAAAATGAAGTTTTTGGTCTTGATTTTTGGGCTGTTTCAATCTCTTTCCTAAAAAAGATGATAAAACAAGACTAACACATTGGGTATTGCTTTTACAATAATTTGACATTGAGATTAGAGACAAAAAGGGAATGGAAAACGTAGCAGTTGATCACTTATCGCGACTAGAGAACCCACACTTGGAAGAATTAGAAGAAGACAAGATTGGAGATGATTTTCCCGAAGAATATCTTATGGTTATTGCAGGAGAAATACCTTAGTATGCAGACATAGCCAACTACTTAGCAAGTGAATACATTCCAAATGATTTGACACGACAACAAAAGAAGACATTCTTTTCAGAGATGAAGTATTACTTTTGGGATGAGCCATACCTCTTTCGAAGCTGCACAGACTGTATGATAAGAAGATGTGTGTTCGGGAAGGAGAGTCGAGAAATCTTGAAAAATTGTCATAGCGGGCCCACCGGAGGACATCATGGAGCACAATATACGGCTAAAAAGGTTTTTGATACGGGTTTTTATTGGCCTACAATTTTTAAAGATGCTGCTCAATATGTTAAGGAGTACGATTCATGCCAAAGATCGGGAAATATTTCATCCCGAAACGAGATGCCTCAAAATAGCATTCAAGTGTGTGAGATATTTGATATATGGGGGATTGAATTTATGGGACCTTTCCCAATGTCAAAAGGAAATAAATATATATTGGTGGCGGTAGATTATGTGTCTAAATAGGCAGAAGCAGAAGCATTACCTTCTAATGATGCTCGTGTGGTGGTGCGTTTCCTTAAGAAGTTGTTTTCAATATTTGGTGTTCCTAAGGCTCTAATTAGTGATCGGGGCACCCACTTTGCAAATGATCAATTGGCTAAGGTGTTACAAAATATGGTGTACACCATAGGTTTTCAACATCCTATCATCCCTAAACAAGTGGGCAACCGAAGTTACAAACTGGGCATTAAAATGAATATTGGAGCGATCGGTTGGCAGTAACAGAAAGGAATGGTCGAAGAAGCTTGATGATGCATTTTGGGCATTTCAAACGGATTTTAAAACACTTATTGGTACTACACCATATAGGTTGGTTAATGGAAAGAATTGCCACTTGCCGGTTGAAATCGAGCATAAAACATTTTGGGATTTGAAGATATTTAATTTTGAATTAGCCGAACTTGGTACCAACCGATTGATGCAAATGAATGCCCTAGAAGAACTTACAAATGAAGCATACACTAGTTCATTAATATATAAAGACCATACAAAGAAATGGCATGACATAAGACTAAACGGTCATCGGGATTTTCGTGAAGGACAAAAGGTGCTACTCTTCAATTCAAGGTTTAAGCTTTTTCCGGGAAAATTACAAACTAGGTGGGATGGGCCATTTGTTGTTAAACCAGTTTTCCCACATGGAGCTATTGAGCTTATATCAAGAGACGGAACCCCTTTAAAATTTAATGGGCATAGAGTGAAGCATTATGAAGAAGGTATGCCAATTGAAGAAAACGAGGGGGAAATCGTCATATTCACACGAGCTGAAACAACGTGAAGCGGGAAGGAGTCCGACTTATGACTCGCCAAAAAAGAAGCGCTTGCAGGAGGCAACCTGTGATTTTGAGTTTGCATTTTTCATTCCTTTTATTTTATTTTAATTTATTTTGTTTATTTTTTGCTTTATTTATGTGTTATTCTCTCATTCTTCTAAATTTATATGGAATTTGGCATGGGGAATAGCATCAAACGAGTGTGGGGTGGATACTTTTATAAAATTTTGACAAATAAAAATTGTTTTTACCTCACCACGAGGTGGTGAACATTTCAGTACCCGATACTACGTTTTTTTAGCGACTCCACGACGTGCTTTTGGTTTAACTGCAGTCAAATTAGGGTTTTTTATACCTTTGTCAAAACGTATTCTCACTTTTTACTCCGCCTCTCTCTCGCCATGATCACCTTCCCTACGAAGAACATCCCGATCCTTCCTTCAATTTCTTGCGTTTTTCAACTAGAATGTATGTTTTATGTGTGATTTCCTTACTCTTAATCGCTTATTATGCTAGTATAAGGTATACATTTGCTGATTAGAACACATTTAGGGCCGAAATTATGAACCTAGGGTTCCGATTTTTGAAAAATAGAACCCGATTAATGATGTTTTTCTCTTGATTTTATTGCCTTCCTACACGAATTCATGCCTAGAACAAACCCTGAAGTTGTATTAAGTTGATATTGTGTGGATTGAGGTCCGATGAAACCCACAGAACTCGACAGTACGTCGACCACGACGATTCGTCATGGTGAAGCAATTTTTATGCCAATCCTGTTTTGTTCTGATTCCATTCATGAACATGGTTTCCTCTTGTGTTCTTTTTGGTTATTTTGCAGAAATGGCTAGCCGTGCACGACGCCACCAACCCGGGAGTCGCCCCGATTTTCCGTGGTACTCTTTTCCAAGGACTGTTGGGCTCGAGATTTATGCAAGATGGAATGCAAAGCTTGACTGGATGAAGCAACGAAAATTCCATGTTCCTGTGGTAGTGGATGGGCAATGGATTGGACAGACTGGATTAATGGAGGGAATTGAGCCATACTTTGATAAAGCATTTGATGGCATTCATGGGCAATTTGTTTGTATGGGGTGGAGACGGCTATTCCAAATTCAGGAAGTCGTGTACAAGGAGTTAGTCATCGAGTTTCTGGCCACAGTTTCTTTTGCACGGAAATATGGTTTTTTTTGCTGAGGACAACCTTTCATTTTGCCTTGGTGTAGAAAGGCGTACCTTAAGCCTTGCTGATTTTGCTATTACGACGGAGATTTATCTTCCGACCGAGGCACATTTTGAAGCTTATAAACAATATATTGTTAGATGTGTGCGGATTACCGAGGGGTTCAAAGCGGAAGAACACTGGAATAAAATTGCAAATGGAGCTTACGATAAAGGGATTGCGCAAGAAAGTGATATCCGCTCTCCTATTCATTGTCTTTTGCACCACCTCATCACAAACACCATCAATCAGAGACAGTAGGGGGATAAGTGTCGGACTATACATCTATTTTTCTTATGGGCTCTTACATCCCCCGATGTTTATGTGGACTTACCATTCCTTTTGGCAGATTTTCTTTATGTCCGAGCAAGCAAGGATAGGAGAGGGTCCCCTCTTTACGGGGGTATGTTGATTACACGGCTTGTGCGTTTATATGGTGTATTTGAAAAATGCGACACCGTCCTCTTGACTGTGGAGCCCCAAAAGGCTTTCTCTAAACTACTTTATAAGAGGGTCAATATCATTGTTGATCATGGGATGGGTCATTTTGCCATTCCTGATGACACTCCACGAGACCGAGCTCCGAGGCGGGTAAGGCAAAGAGGAAGGGAGCCTGAAGAAAATGAACCACCAGTTGTACCAACCGATGACGAGCTGCCCATGGATCCCTATAGCATTGCAAGGAGGAGGTTTGAAGATAATTTGGCAAGGAGTGCCAACTACACCAACATGAGCCTAGATCATCTTATGGAGCAAATGAATGTCATCGGACCCGCTCATTTTCCTCCTGATTACCCATACGCACCGAGTTGGAAGGAATTATGGAGAGATCAGCAAGGTGGAGCGGACGGTAGTGGAGGAGGAGGTGATGATGGAGATGACGAAGATTGAGAGATCTATCCTTTTTGTTTTAGTGGTTTGAAGACTTTGTTTATTTTATGTTTTTATTTTTGTGTGTTTGGTTTGTTTGGTTTGGTTGTTTGGATAATTATTTCTTTTTGGTTTTCGTTGTTTGACAATGTTTTCTACTTTCATTATTTTTCTTTGCTTTAGATTTCCAGGTATTATTTTTAGAGTCCGATTGAGGTTATTATTGGCAAAAGAAGGTGCTTTATAGAGAAAGATTAGAAACGACGAGAGAAGCGAGATTTGAGTAATTTTTGCGGGTGTTTGTTTGCGTCAATAAGTGAGGAGTCACGCCTAACAGCTTCGTACATAAGTTGGTGCCACATATATTCCAGAAATCAGTTGATTCCAGCACAGATTATTGCCATTTCAAGTCCAACACGTCGTGGTAATCTCCACCACGTCGTGTTGTCGCAGTCTGAATACCAGAATAAAAATCTGTTTCAGCTACCACGAGGTGGTGAACTCCGCTACGAGGTGGTGCTTTTCGAGTCTGATCTCGTACTTTCAGAAGTCTAGGTGTTCAATAGTGGCGTTTCTAACTTTATATTCATTCTCATGGTATGGATGAGTTGTTCCCACACCATGAAGTTTATTTTAACGTGATAAAGAAGTATTATCCCGGCTGCCACGACATAGTTGACACTTTCCTATGTTGTGGGGGAGTTGTTCATCGCATAAGGAGGTTGCCATTATACTTTCCAATTTTGTTTCCACACTTTCAAGCAAGATGGCTTTTCTACACATTTCCACACAATTCAAGATGCATCTTCTATCCTAGGGGAGTCTGTTCCTTTTTCTCCCTCTTATTAATTTTATGTTTTGCATAACATGCAATGAAATAAGTGTGGGGTAGGGGGTATATTATATTGCATGAGAAAAAGCATTTGATTTTTAAATTTTTGCATTGCTAGTTTCAGAATTTGCATTCATATAGACTTGAAATAATAGTTTAACTTAGGAAACTTAGCTAATTAAAATTTTTGCTAGTATAGTATGGTATGATCCGATGAGAACCCAAATGTTTACCTGAACCAACACATGTTACAATGTATTTATGGCTTCCCATTTCCTAGTGAAAAGTCATGAGGTATGAAAGGTAATCTGGTTGCTTATATGGCATAATACGTTTTGCAGCCTAAAGTTGAAATCTAACCAGGAAAGCTTAGGTAGTCATTGCACTTAGACTAATACCCTAACCAATAAAGGTTGAAGCTAAGCTCCTTGTTTAAGCATGTAGGATTTGAGTGAAAAGAAAAAAAAAAGTGGGATAAATTTTAAAAAAAAGAGAGAGAGAAATTACCAAAAAGTTCAAGAATTTAGGAGCTATCAAAGTATGAAATTCAAAGATCAAAATTCTGAAGAAACCCAAAAAGTTGAAGATACCAAAAATCAAACAGAAAAGGTGGTGAATTCAAAGAAATCAAAGATCAAATATACAAACAAAATGAAGAATTAAAAGAGCTCCATTGTGGTATCAAAGTTGTAATTTCTAGAATTTATGTATGCTTGGTTGTTTAGACAAAAAATACTTTGAGGTTAAGAAAGATTTCTTAGGATTGATTCGGATGGTTGCAAAAACGAGTGTCGTATAAGCTAAGGAGTGAAGGTTCATAAGGATTGTGAGTATTTAGGAGTGGGAAGGTCTTAGGAATTATAAACACAAATACATGCATTGAGGTCTTGGGATAATGGTTAGATTTGAAATGGATTGTTTTGTACTTTCCTGGTAAAATAAGAAATCAATTTGCTTGGGGGCAAGCAAAGAATAAGTGTGGGGTATTTTCATAAGTTCATATATATACACATAATTATATATCATATCTTAATATTTTTAAATACTTTTATGCCCTTTATGGAACAAAAGGTACTTAATATGTTACGAATTGTGTTGTAGGGATAAAAGACATGCTTGGAGCAAAAAGGAAACTGGAAGCTGGATGCTGGATGCTGGAAGTTGGGAGTTTGAATCAAAGCTTTAAAATGAAGAAAAATATACCCAACACATCGTGGTGGATTTTCCACGGCGTGGTGACTTGAAGAATCCCGATTTGCTTTGAAGAATTGTTGAACACGGGATAAACACGAAGAACAAGACGTGGTGGCCTTACCACGTCGTGGTGCTCTGAATTCGGGAAAAATATAAATAGATCACATTCTCCTCCGAATTGGAACTTTTGGATCTAGAAGTAATCATCACTTTTGAAGGCAAAGCACCTGTTCTAAGGCTTGGAAGCAAGGAATTCGATCATACCATTGGAAGTAGGAGCATTAAGGCGACAAATCTCTACACTTCGATTTTTTCATTAGATTTTGCCATGTCAATTACTTTGAATTTCGATTTTATGTTCTTGTTTGCTGAAATCATGAGCTAAATTCTCATGACTTTCGTTTAGTTTAGGATGGATTGATTATTTGTGGTTGAATTTATGGATTGGATTTAGCTATTTGGTAATTTGTTGATTTTGCTTATTAAAGAACCTCACGTACTTTTGATAACTATTTTCTCTACTTATTGTTGAATTTGATTAAGTTAGTATGACTATCTTTCTTAGTTGAATTTGAATGTTATGATCATGTGAATTGCAAAATTGTAGGACTAGAGTTTTAAACAAAACCTAGGGTTAATTAGAAATTGGGTAAAAAGGTATAGGAGCTAATATATGACGACAAATCATATATTGAATTGAATCAATAAACTAAACTGATCAATCTATTATAAGTCTAATTAACTTGAACCGAACACTAGTAAACTTGTTAGTTTGTCCGCCTGATCACCGAATAAATAAGCTAGTTTGCTAAAGGATCAAATTAGTGAACTAATTTGGTCATATTAGGAATCGGTAACCAAAGAAACTAAAATCCATTGCACTTCGATAAATCAACCATAATAATAATTAAATCCTAAGCTAAACGAAAGTCCCTTATTTACCTTCGTTAAGTCCTTTTTGCTTGTTTGCTTAGTTTTAGTGCTAGCTTAAATAGTTGATAGTTAGTTAGTTTGGTAAATTAAGTTTCTAGTCTTGCAAAACTATAGAAAAACCCTTTATAATTTTATTAGTAATTAGCTAGTAGTAGATAAAAATTAGCTAAAAACACTGTTCCTTGTGTTCGACACTTGTTCTTACCATAGCTATACTATTACATGATTAGGTACACTGCCTAGTGTGTTTAATAGTCTAGTGAAACAAACATTAGTTTTATAAAATTGAAACTTGAATACATATATATACACATTAACTACACATCACCTGGCACACAAACTTGTTGCGAAGACAATATCTGGTGTACTTGAAGTCAAGTAAAGTAGTGAACCAATCATTTCTAGGTATAACTTTTGATCGAATGATTAAATGTGATTTTGTACCGAATGCCATGCGAACCTTAACTGAGGAGCAATTTTCCATTGAATATTTCTTTAACAACTACATGGTGTATTTTTCTTGATGGATGAAGATTCCTTGACTAACTTGATTAATTTGTAATTCTAGAAAGAAACTGGTGTCTCTATTCATACTCATATATAATTTTCTTGTCATAACCTTCGTGAAGTCATCTACCATAACTTAGTTTGTTGAACAGAAGATGATGGCGTTCACGTAGATTTGCACTAGCATAAGATGCATTTCAATTGACTGTATGAAGATAAAAGGATTAATGATCAGACTCTTGAACTCGAAGTCAGTGAAAAACGTCGAGAGAATTTCATACCAAGCTCTAGGTGCATGCTTTAATCCATATACCTCTTTCTCCAACTTATAGTAGTGATTTGGAAACTCAGAGCTCTCAAATACTATAGGTTGATGTATATATACCTCTTGTTTCATCTCACCATTGAGGAATGCACTTTTAACATTCATTTGATGTACTTTAACATTCTTGTGCATTGTATATTCCAGAAAGATGTGTATGGCCTCTTACCTTACAACTGCAGCATACGTCTTGTCAGAGTCAGTACCTTCCAATTGACTATATCCTTTAGCTACTATGTGGGCTTTGCTGCGAATAACCACGCCTGTATCATCTAATTTTTGCGAAATACCCAACGAGTTCTAACTACGGTTTATCC